AAATTTCTACCGCGTGCAATCTTCTTTATATATCACATTAAATTACAAAGTACAGACATTTATTTTCTTGCAAAACTAGAAACGACTTTAGTAAGAAACGTTTTATTTCAGTTTTCTTATTTAACTTTTATTTTTTAAATGAGATTAAATTTTTAGTTTTTATTATTTTTAGAATTTCTTTTCTCCATCATGACTCTAAAATTATATTTTGATATGATATCGCAACCTTCGAGGACATTGTACATATTTTTCAAAACATGTAATATACCGTTTGAAAAAAAGATTGTGAATCTCAGGAAACTCGAACATCATACTCCGGAATTTGAGAAGATTAATCCGTTCAAAAAAGTGCCGGCTATAGACCACGATGGCTTCAAGCTTACTGAAAGGTATTATTCTTTCTATAGGATAATATCGACACTTCTTTATTTGTTTTAAAATCGTTTTTTTTGTTTCTAGTATAGCAATTATGCGATACGCGTGCAGAGAATTTAAGGTAGACGATCACTGGTATCCGAGCGATTCGAAAGCGCGAGCAAAAGTAGATAAGTTTATCGAATGGCATTATTTCAACATAAGACTACATTGCTCCAAGTATTTCTTGGCGAAGGTAATGTTTTCATTGTTTACTTAAAATATATCCTGTGTAAATGTATTTTTTAATATAGTTCCTAAATCCGCTTCTACGGGGTACCTCGCCGAAGCCAGAGAAGATAGCTAAATTGGAAAAGGCTATGAGCGATAATATCGACCCTATTGAAAATATATGGCTGAAAGACAAGCTATACTTAACAGGAAATACAATTAGCGTGGCTGATATATTTGGTGCTTGCGAATTAGAGCAACCACGTAAGTTATAATAACGAATCTTTTGATTCTGAGTACTATGATATACATCGTATTTGTAGCTTGAAGATTTGTTTTGTCATAGGAATAGCCGGATATAATCCGAGAAATGGAAGGCCACGCTTGACCGCCTGGTTGGAAAGAGTCGCTGCGGAGACAAACCCTCACTATGATGATGCTAATAAGTTTATAGATGAAGTCATTGCACAGACAAGCAAGATGTAAGGCTAAACCTTAATAAACTTTAATTACATACAAATACATTATAACATCCATAAATATCACGTATATGCAATCTGTTTTAATCGATACAAGTAATATTTTTAATGATTAATGAATATTTTTAATGATTTTTAATGATTTACTTGTTACCTTTATATTCATTAAAAAAAATATAGAAAAATATATGTTTATATCGTTTGTTTATTTTCCATTTATTTGCCATTTATCCATTTCAAGAAAACTGCGGTGTTGCAATTTTTTTTCAAATTGTTATAAAAGTACAAAAAAATTGATTATAATTATGTATAACAATTAAGAAGCATTGGAACAAAGATATAAGCGTTATTCCTTACAAGTACGCGACTCTTAAATATATTCATAAAAACGATCGTACTTTATTAGCTATCTCTGATACATTTTTTTTTTAATAATAACTTATTATTTTTCACCAAAATAAATCTCTTCATTGCAGTCATGTAGAATACAACATCGATAGTGAGAAACTAAAAGTTTTTCATATAATTTGTAATAAAATTCATATTGTTTCTTGTCTTCTTTGATGTTAATAATCCAATGCGATCGCGCTGTGAAGAGCTAGAAGCTTTATTAAAACAAAACTGCAGTTGAATCTAATTATAACTACACATAAGGTACATGAGAGGTAGCACGTTCGTAACATCCGTTACATTAAAACATGTAATATACCAATGAGCGTAATACTTTCCGTATTATAGCTATTGCACAATACATACACCATTTATCGCACAATAGTAAGATATAATGCGAGGTGCGCTGAATTCTTCATTTTCGCGATTCATAATTTACAAAGCAGAACAGACCGTGAACAAAGTATTATAAAATTACTGTAAGCGTTTATCTTACGACCAGACACACTTTATCACATTCGTCGTGTAAATCCGATGCTATCGCAAGAAATAATACTCGCATTTGTTACGATTTATGATACATCGACTAGAAGTACATAAAATTATCGGTGAAAATACGCGAATATCAAAACATCTTATTTCAAACATCGTTCATCTTTTTTTACTTGTTATCTTGGTCATCAAGTTAATTGATACTTTATATGTAAATATTAATTTATTTGCAGGTTCTCGTGATTCCTGTGACAATTTTCAGACGAGTTTCTTTAGCTTAGGCATTCTCTTCGGGCATTTCTCGACGTGGATGCTCCAATGACGAGTTTGGCACCTCTCATCACAATAGAAGGCCGCTTCGCAGCCAAGGCATTTAAACATGGAGCCAGTAAGGCCGCAGTTTGAGCACTCCAGATTGCTCGTAGTCTCCATGGTGCGATTTATCTTGCCCAGATGCGGAGTTTCGCAGTTACGACTTTCCTTCCGCATAGACTCCTTAGCGACACCAGACGTTAGGATCGTGGCGGGCTTGTACATTGACGTAGATACCGAGGACGCTACCGCCGTCTCCTGCGCATTCTCGCCGAAGATCGTTGTTGACGATTGAGAATAAGCGTCGTCCGCCTTCACGTAAGGTAGTCTGTCCAGTATCAGATTCTGCAGTTGACGATAACCACCGTTGTTCATTCGCGAGTCCACATTGATGGCGCCGACGGATTGCGCCTGTTCCTGCGGCATACGTTCGCGGTTCGCCATTCTATTCGCCGTCATCAGTTGCGAGGATTCGTTGTCCATAACGGCGCCGATGCCGGACACCATCTCCGGGTCGTTTCTTCCGTATGATGGTAGCGTGCCGCGCTGCCGGCCAAAAGAAGCCGCCGCGACCACCGCAGCAGCCGCCGCCGCGGCAACGACATCCGGGATCATCCTATTTCTGCCATATTGACCATTATTTGCGGGATAACCGGCCAAAGAAGTACGCGCCAAAGTCTGCTGCGCGGAGGCTGCTGCCAACGGCGGGGGTGGCGGTAACAGCAAGGACGGCAGGCAGGCCGACGCGGTGCCGTTCTGCGTGGCGGCTGTCGCCGTTCTTAGACGATCGTAGTCGGCAGCGGTGGCATGCTGATATCCGCCTGCTGATAATGTACCAGAGTACTTGAGCAGATCCGCGGTGAAGTGGCGAGCCGCCGTGTCCTGCAGATGCGCAGGAAAACGCTTGTCGAGATGCTGCGGAGCGGAGATCTGGCGGAGCGGAGAGGGATGCGGATCCTGCAGGGGACCTATTTGATAGCCGCTTATCGGCGGTGCAGCAGGATGCAGGCGGGAGTGACAGGGATAATCACCGTAGGGACAAATCGTCGAATGGTAGCCGAAAGCTGCACCGCCGTAAGGATCGACCTACGATATTAAATGAGCTGAATGATGTGGCAACTACATTTGTTACATATAAAATATGTTATGTAATTTGTTATGTGGGTGTATTTTCTTTGATTATAATCTATAATCTATGACTCTTTTAGAGATGTAATGCTCCTTGTTTTTCTTACTGCGTAATTTGGTGAATAGAATTGAGTGACCGAAATGGGTGGACAGATGCCCGGTCTCACTGGAGGTGCGGCCGATGATGCCGCTGCGTACAACTGTTGTTGACGTTGCTGATGTTGCTGTCGCTGCCACCTTTCCGTATTCCATTGCGGCGCAACGTTAACTATATTATTTCGTGTCACGTTAGTTGATGCTCGTTCGCTTGTGCGAATCTTTTGTGTCTCCAGTCCGGGGGTCTGTGCCCAGTAGAACTTGTTAACGATTTGATATATCATCGAAAAAATAATTATTAGCAAAAAATATATACTCACGCGAGCGGTCTCAGCTGTTGATGCGGTTGGTAAACTTATTCCAGATTGCAACTTAGATTTTGACTTGGTGGCCTGTTTCTTCGACATTCGCGCTACCCAATTACCCAACGTAGGAAATTGCTCCGTCATAATGCGATTTCCATCGTTTCGCTGACTAATGTTCTCCTGCGTAGCTTTGTTATTGGAGCTGTTAGGTAGACTGATACATTGATGGAAAAATACATGTTAATTTAAATGTATTTACATAAATTAAGTTTAAAATTATTTTAAATTATTCTAAGTCTGTTTTATAAAAACTTATTTTTAACGCTTATGTTCATAAATAATTTATATTTATACCTACACGATACATTGTTGATTAGAGCTACTGACGGGAGAACCAGATTGAGTAAATTCCAGAGGCATTGATGGCTCTAATATCGTGGATTGATTCATACTTGACGTCACCTAAAATAAAAAATTAGCAATATAAATTAATATATTTCTTACAAATTTTACATATTAATCACATAATGGATTTATACTTTTTCTAGATGCGATTTTATAAATTTCTTTTTACGAATTTACTTGTGTGTGTGTGTGTGTGTGTGTGTGTGTGTGTGTGTGTGTGTGTGTGTGTGTGTGTGTGTGTGTGTGTGTGTGTGTGTGTGTAGTATATATTTTATTAAACATTTAATATTTAATATTAAATATTATTATTATTAATGAATAATGAAGATTTACGACTATTACATTTTCTCAATTAAACAAAGTCTATTTTGAATTTATCAGATCATGATCTTCTGATTTGAAACTTAGTATTAGGTAACATTGGGACACATCATGCATATATTATTAAGTCGGATAAATGTTTCAGAACTTCTTAAACATGTAGTCGGTAGTTTCCGTTAGCCGAGTTTCCGAGTTACTGCATTATTTTGTCACTTTCACAAGAAGTAATTATTCTATAGATTTCCAGAGGTTGTTTTTCAATAAAATTTCAACACGTCGCAGAGAAACTTTTCCGTAGACGCATTACAAATAAATTTTTGTCGCTTCGTGACAATCCCCTGTTTCAGCAAATAGTGTTTGCAGCAAAAACGTGTTTCATCGTTTATCGTTCAACGCTTCCCGTTTCCCGAGACACATCGTCTATGTGTTGTCCTGTAATAATAAAAATACTCGAATGGAGAACTACTTAAATTAAATCCAGCTCCTCCGCATGTGTACATTGCAATACAATTTTGTCCCATGCGACCGACGTGACCATATAAGAAGGAATAAAAGACTTGGGAAGCAATTTCGAACAAATTAAACGAACTGTCTCTTTACAGTACTTCTTCCGCAGTCAACACTAAGAATAAAAAGTATAATCAAACTGTTTTTCAATACTTAGGAGGTACTTGACTGAATGAGATACATGTGTGTGTGTGTGTGTGTGTGTGTGTGTGTGTAGTAAATCGAGATTAAAAAATTTTACAAACTTATATTTTTTTAAAATAATTATTTGTACAGTTGAGAAAAGGTGGAAAATTATAGATTGATAGGCGGCTTCGCAATATAAAAACTGATCCAAAAAAATCACGACGTTGCTAGAAATTGGACGTAGTATTGTCGGTTTCCGATAACATTATTGATATGCCAGATAAAAATCTGCATAGTGCTTGAAACCATGTAAGCTATCGATCGTTGTGTGCGCACCGACTTCTACAGAGGAATGCATATAGTTCTTTGTGAATCACTCGCGGATTTAATTATTTCTATTTGCTCGTCGCCCATTACGCGCATTGCTTCTGCTCGAGATATTTTATTTATAAGTTTTTACAGCGTAAAAGATAAAAAAATTAATGCAAATGTTCGAACAGTTCAATTCTTTAAATATTAGTAGAAATACGATTGCGATTAAAATTATATCAAAAAGAAAGAATTACTCTTAATTAAAGATGATTTAATTTGCATATTAAAATATATTTTATCTTATCTTTTTCTCTTATAGAGAAAAATCGAGCATATATTGAAGGGATACGTTTTTTTTTCCGCGATTCTCTAATATTTGCAATTTTGACATTCGAAAAAAAATGAGCGTATCAACAATTTGCGCCCGCGATTACTAAGTCCCATAAAAGATTAGCATTTAGTATCTTTCGGATGTTGAAGACCTTTTTCAAATTAATTGGAAAAGCATGTCCCTTTTAATTGATACTCGCGAAATTCGTATTCGGTTTAGCAGAAAGCGATGAAAACCCGATTTATTTCTTTACATCCCTCTTCCCCGCCGGCCCTTCCGTCGCCGGGCGGCGCCTCTTGAAAGTAATAAAAAATTTTTTCCACGCGGAATTAATGACCATCGAGATCGCGTTCGCTGTAGCGGGATCATCCCGGAAAACTTTTCAGAAAGATTGC